TAAACAGTGTCAGTACATGAGTGTTTGTGCATATGACACAGAAACAAGGATTATATACATACACAAACAGAGATAGGTAAAGAGAGAGAGAGAGAGAGAGAGAGAGAGAGAGAGAGAGAGAGAGAGAGAGAGAGAGAGAGAGAGAGAAAGGAAGAGTCAGACAGACACAGAGAGACAAGTTCATTCCCTCCCAGTCAGACAGCAAACATGCACCACAACACACCACATCACACCACAACACCTCCGCCACAAAAACCCACACACTGACAAACCGACAATTAAAAACAGACCTCGGGATAACAACAACAAGCCACGCCCCTAAGCCAAGCACAATGCAGTCAAAAGTCACCACATTCAGAAACAACTGAGAAAGTAAGACACCTTCAAGCTAGAACGGAGCCCAAAATGATTCTCCAGCAGAACAGTAGAGTTGATTTTGGCTTGTCATTGAGGACTTTAAAAAACCCCTCAAAAACAAGAGACAAGATAAGAAGAGCCAAAGTTAATGGCACAGAAATCAGCAGAGAAAGGCGATACCCTATAAAATACCTTCCAAAGTGGGAAAAGAACTTATGCCCCTTGCAGGCAAGACGGAAAGCCTAACCATTACACCAAGAGACACTTATAATGTATACTTATAGTGGGCTTTGATTGTTGAACCAGAGAAAGACCGAGCAGTGATGGACAGACCGTGCAGTGATGGACACTGAAACATTCTAGCGGAGACCGTGAGACCTCACAAAGAATTTCATCTCAAGGCCACCAGGTATGCAGAGCAAACGCACCTGCACCTCCAAGCTGACTGAAAATGCTTTACGCTCACATCTACACAAATAACATTACTTAAGAGGCAGTCTGCTTCAACCCTGCCTGACAGGGCCAGCTCAGGGGCTAATATGGCAAAAAGTCAGAGATACTCCATATAATAGACTTCTCCACAGGGGAATTGAACTCACATCTTTTGTGTGGCGCAACAGCAAAGATAGTCACCACTACAGTACAGATGTGGCAAGTATATCTCCTTTGAACATTCCAAAAGAACAAGAAGAACCACAAAAACCAAAAAACAGGAGAGAGAGAGAGAGAGAGAGAGAGAGAGAGAGAGAGAGAGAGAGAGAGAGAAAGAGAGAGAGAGATACTGTATAATTTTACAGATAAACGTAGCCATGGAAAATAAGACTACGTGTACCTCCAACCAGCATAGCAGAGTAATCTCTCAGTTTTGCACGATGCTAAGCGACAGACATTAGCAGTTCAGACACACATGGCACAGCATGCAGATCACTGGAAACCCAAACAAACAGCACTGTCCCATACAAATGGCACTGTTAAGTAAAAGAGGTAGCAGCTTCCCCTTTAAGACATATTTCTCCCAACAGCATGGAAACAAGCTGATTTGTTTCATACAGAAATATAAAAAAAAAAAAACAATGCAAGGGAAAGAACAGTTTTTCTCATCTCACAAACTTTCCTTCTCCCAAAACAGAATTGAAAACCTCTCTTGGAGAAGGGGAGGGGGAAGAAGTATTAGAAAAGAAGACATACATCTTGAAGATTTGTTTGACGGACTTATGCTGGAATTACAAAACAGCTGCACACAAACATCTTCAAATCTAAGTTCCCAAAATAAATACCACACCGTAACACCACTAAGCTTTAAATTCTTTGTCTCCCCCTCCCCCCTTCCTTTTTGTTCTTCTTTCTTCTTTTTTTAAAAACAGGATACGTTTAAGCACATTCTTGAGCAATTTAACAGTATTACAATGTGTTTCAAAATCATATCTACCTGACCTGAACCAGTTCTGCTGAGTGACATGGCAAACTGATTGTGCACTTGTTTTGTCTAGGTTTGACATTTTTAAAAGTTTACAGGCAAAAAGTGAAGCAACAATAGCACTATTTTTTTGACTTCTCGTCTTTTTTCCTTGTTCAACCAAACACTATGCCCCACTGATCTCAGCAAACAGTTTTCTGTGGTTAGTATGTCTGAAATTTGAAGCGCTCATATATATATATATATGTATACATGAATATGTTATACATAAATATAATAGTTCTAGACTTGATGCAAGTGGAATAATAAAGAAAACAAAAAAAAACCCAAACAACGTCAACAGACATGACCATGAAGCTATTCTCCGACATTTTCTATTTTAGTCGTACAATGCATGGTTCTTTAACAATATACTTGAAATTCAATTTCATAATCCCTTAAAACTCCCCGTTCAACCCATATTAAAGAAAAAAAAGCCTGCCAAAAGTTAAAAAGATAAAATCAACGCACTGTACCTTTTACCTCTTCATCTTCTGGATCGCTAACAACAACAACCTCTTCATCTTAAATCTCAGCGAATCAAAAGGCTAGACGAGACAATAATCTGCCAAACAGTCTGTTGTTTTCGACAGAGAGAAAAGACTGAGAGACAGCTCAGCTAGCTAGGCAGGACGAAGACAAAAAGCCACTCAGCAACAAGCAGTATGCACAATCAACACACACACGAGACAAAACGCAACGCTTGGCACATCATGTTATAAACAGACACAAGGATGATGCAATGGTTTCTTCTGTTTGTACCTCCCATATTATACAAGTCTGAGCGGTTCTCATATCAATCGATAAGGAAAAAAAATGCCTAGCAGCCTCTACCATGCACCGGATGCTCCCAAAAGACACTAGGACAAAACGCCGTGAGCCACTCACTTCCTTGTCGTCGGCTGTGATCCCGTCAAACACCATAGCCACCAGTTCGTCTGAGTCCTTGTCCAGCAAAAACACTGAGCACCTGAGAGGCAAAAATCAATCTTTAAAATAACAAGCAAATGTGTTTGAATTTGTTTTACAACATTAAAAAGCTAATACGTATTAAAACCAAAATAGAGACGGTGACATTGCCTTTACAGGAATATTCAAGGTAAACAGTCAAGACCCCACCCCACTAAATGAAAACAAAAACGATAGCAAAGGAAAAAACTAATAGACTACCAAGATCAAAATAAACTTTCTGCCCACTCCCACATCAGAACATCAGGATTAGCCTACAGAGAGAGAGAGAGAGAGAGAGAGAGAGAGAGACCTAGACTCTACTCAATTTCAAACCTCTTAAAAAGGCAACAGCACCAAAGCAGAGGCCAAAATTATTTTTTTTAAAAACCAGACAAATATCAAGATAATCAGCGCGAGGGACAAACCTTTCAGCATCAGTGAGGTTTCTGGCTTCTTGCATAATTTCTCTCAACAGCTTGGTAAGGTCATCTGTAAATAAAACAAGCAAATAAATGAACTTTATATAGATAAAAAAAATCAAAGCAAATATCTCATGAATACGACTACATTTTCCACTTTTTTTTCCAGTTCACTGTGAAAAATATTAGTAAGTTAAACAATTAAAATATGTTACAAACGGATGATTAACATTTTAAAATTTTTGACGATCAAAAGATATATACATGTGTACTAACAAAATTGTTTAGAAAACTGAGAGCATAAATCATCTTAATCATAAATTTATTTTTACTGTACCCTTGTACATTTTCTTGAAACGAACAACAAAGTAAAAATTGAAAAACATAAACCAATTCGCAAAAGAACAGTGAACAGTGGAACTCTGATACAGGAGAACACAATAACAAATAAGATTTCACGTTGAAACTAACCGAGAGTTGAATACAACTACATTTTCATATAAAGCAACCTGACACAGCCATAGCAAGAATGCCAAATCAATTATATACATCTTTTATAAAAGGAAAAGTGACACTTTTTTTCGGAGTGGATTCATAACAAACCACGGAGAAATGACATCTTGACGACACAATGACAGTTAGTCTGAAGACATGAAGTTTAATTAGGGGATTTTAACAGTTTTTGAAGAATTAATAACCCATCTCATTCCACAGCTACCTGTGCCATGAGAATAGAGAGTATGGGTTTTTCTGTAAACTATTTACTTTTACTGGCCCAAATTTCTATGATAAATATGCTTGAAACAAATGTGTAAACCACATTATGCAATTGGCAAGTTTTCATAAAAGTTCCACTACATCAGCTGCCTCTTAAATAACCCTGCAGTTAGGAAAGGGGCATTTAACTCACCAAATGACAAATGTATCAGAGTTCCATGGTGAACAAACAGAAAGGAGAAGCAGATAAAACCCCAAACTAGGTTCGAAAAGGTCACAAAGAGGGCCTGAATTCTATGAAACCTAAACAAAACCCAAACTCTCTCTACCCATGTCACAGGCAAGTGCTGCCTTTCCTGGGCCACTTCGCAGGGGTAGCCGGCCTATGATGTCGGAAAAGAGAACTTTTCTTGTCGCCTGCTGAGAAAGAAAACTGGTCAACCATGTCTCTTTATCCTCCAATCGGTTGTGCTGTTCAAAGCCAGAGGCGGTCACTTTCTGATTCTGAGCTGCAGCATCACCAGGAGAGTTATCTCTTTCTCCACCACTTTCCACTTTCAGATTCTCTGCAGAATCATCTAAAATCATACAAGTGTCAAGATCTTTATCAGAGCAACGTTGATCAAGAGTACCGAGATTGTTGCTTTGAGTTACCAAGCTAAAATCTTTCATGACATCAGTAACAGCAGCAGCAGCCCCCCGGCAATCAGCGGTGTTGTCCTGAATGTCACTACCGTGATCCACAACCTCCACTTCACTTTCCGTATCAACCACGTCACGTTTCACCTCTGTCTCACAATCAACAACTTCCATTAAGCCCATCCCTTCCTCACCAGCTGGACTGTTTCTGTTATGCACATAAGTGTGAAGTTCAAGGTCAACAAACAGAAGATCATTAGCCTTGCTGAGAGACTTGTCTCCAAACATGAAAGAACTGTAGCGTTTCTTTCCCGGAGTCATGACATCACAGAAAGGGTATGGCACGTTCCCTGTGGAGTTTCCCCCACCACTGGAACTACTTTGTGCCGATGCAGGTGAGACGGAGAAAAGGTCATCAAACCCGCAGAGGTCAGACTGGCCCAGAAGACCAGACTCCTCATCATTAGCCTGACTGCTATATCCAGCAACAACACACAGGACGCTGTCATCAGAAACAACAGCCATGTTCAAGTGGTCAGTGTCACAAACAGAAGACTTCACAGGGATACCATCAAGCTCTTCATCACCAAAAGGCGCAGAATAGCACCCATGTTTTTTGAAGTGCACTAAAAAATTTTCTTGTAGAATCTGAGTTTCCTGGTCATCAGCAACCACAGCAACATTCAAATCTTCAATTTCAGAATCAGAGGAGTTTACAGTATTATCTCCATCTTCATAAATCATAGGGGAAAAACCTTGTTCAATTTTTAGGATTTCACACTCCTTATCAACGACTTCAGGAACATTCAAATTTTCAATTTTGAGATGAGAAGAGTTTATATCAATGCCTCTGTGTTGAGTACCATCACTGGAGCATTCTAATCCTCTTTGTACAGTCTCTTGTCCCTCAATCAAACATCTGTCACTATCCTTTATGTTCAGTATCAAAGATGTCTTCATATGAGAGGGATCAAAATCAGTAGAACCAAAGGCATGCTCAGTCCATTCTGAATGTTGCAAACTTTGAAGAAAGTCCAACTCATCCCCTCCTTCAAAGCACAAAGAACTGGAAAAGCCAGCTTCATTGTTCAAATTTTGATTAAACTTGACTTCACTGATGAGGCTTTCCACATGGCTCTCTATGCAACAATTATCATCATCCCACAAAATGTCATTCTGTTCCAAATTATTTTTGACACTGGCAAAATCCTCTTTTCGTGACCGCCCATCATCCACCTCAGGTGTTTCACTTTCACAATAAGCGCCTTCTTGGTGTTCACTTTCTGTCAAATCAGTTTCTAATTCAACATTATAAATATAAAAGTTTTCAAGCAGCTCATTTTGATTCAAATTCTTGAACTCATTATCAGTACCAGACAAGTTCTCTTGAGGATGACCCTCAGGTAAAACTTTCAGCATCTCATTGGTCCTTACTGAGCACTCCTCTTCTAATTGGTCCTTAACTTGAGCAATATCCAAGTCAGACAACTTCTCTTGAGGAAAATCTGAAAAGAACTCTTTGATCTTCTTGTTATCTTCTGTGAAAGCTTCGTCCAACTTACTGTTATCTCCAAAAGACTTGCTCAAGTCATGATCATCTTTTCCAAAAGAAAGGTTTACCTTATCATCACCTCCTACTAAATGCTTGTCCATCTCACTTTCATAATTAGGAGCATCCCCACACTGTTGATTTTCCATTGAGGACTTCATCTCACTCTCAAAACCAGAGAAATATTGACCCTTCTTATTCCCAACCAAAGACTTGAGCTGCATCATACTGCCAGCACCAGAATAAATCTTTTCCTGATTTTCATGTAACATCTTTTCCTGAAGTTCCTCGCAAACGTCTTCCTGATGTCCTTCACAAATATTTCTTATATTTTCCCGATATCCTTCAAAAATACTTTCCTGATCTTTACAAATGTCTTCCTCATGTCTTTCAATAGACTCACCTCTCTCAACTTGACCTTCCAAGCAAGAAATCTTTGTCTGGTTATCTCCACTAGAGAAGAAAAAATTTCCAACAGTATCCACAACAGCATCTTTTATAGCCATCACAGCTTGAGAACCTGGTGACCCTGGGCTCAAAGAGTTACAATCACATCTGTCCCTATTCTCCTGCTGATACAAAGTCCTTGGAACATTCCACCCAGTGAGCTCTGTCCCAGCTGCCCGGAGTGGTGTGCTCACGGCACTGATACACCACCCCTGGCTTCTACCGCCTGTGAGACTCTCAAGAACAAAGGGATCACGGATGATGTCGTTTGTTGGACTCAGAATGTCCTGGTCACTAAGAGAGTCAGAAGAGCTCATTGCCAGGTGTTCGTCTGAGCTTCCAAGCCTCTCCATGTTATCAGAGTAAGCTTCAGAAGAAGCATTCAAGTCTTCAGAACCTTCCTCACTTTCCTCAAGGCAGAACTCAGCCTTATCATATCTCTTGTCTCCCATTTTACCTTCACACTGGGAGGAGAACTCCTTCCCCACAGAGATTGGTTCCATTATACAGGTTTCTGCGCTGTGCTTTTCAAATTCCATTACATTGCCTTTCAATTCAACAACATCATGTCCCACCTCTGACAGATGTTCAGCCTCTATCCTGCATCCAAGTTTTGTCATTTCTCCAATTCTAGTCCCAAAATCTTCCACCTCTTTAGCTACTTCACTTTTTTGTTCCCTGTTTTCTTCAGTATTCGGACTGGGGTATTTTCTGTCCCTCCTATCCAAACTCTGCTCAACTTCTCTCTCTTTAGTCTCTATCCACAGTGTCAATTCAGATTCCTCTACAATGAATGTCTCATTGAGTATACTGTTTCTGTCTTCAGACATGCCACTGGGGTCACCGTCAGGGTCAGATACTGAGCCTGTGACAACACCCGTGTGACATAATGTGCAGTTCAACAGATCATCATTCAGGTTGGACCATTCAAATTCCTGTTGAATAGGATTATACTCAGAGTCAGTCTCTTGACACAAATCCTCACAACTCTCCGTGGCTTGTAGGTCTATTATTTTTCTCGTCTCTTCTTGTAGATTCTCAACCTTTTGCATAGACTGAAAAGTTCTGTCAGCTGTTACCTCAGACTCAAAGGCCTCAGTTACGACAGGGTGTGTGGCTTGCTCAGAACAATGGTCTTCAACAATAAACTGCAATGCAGGTATCTCACTACTTATTTCTTCTCGATTACTTCTCGTTCCAGGGATGACGCCATCTTCTTCTTTTCCAAACAAACCATTGCTATCACAACTTGTGTCATTTGAAATTAAATTAAAGGCTCCTCCAACAATGACCTCCGGATCTGTAATGCCCTGCACTTTGTGCTTCTCAAAGCAGGACAAGAAGTTTTCTTCTATGGAGTCTACTTGTAAAACAGAGTCAGTCACAATATCAACATTCTCATCTTGCCCTGAATAGTCACTTAAAAAGCGAGTATCCAAGCCTCGTAGCAATGCAAGCAATGCTGTAGCTTCATCATCCACAGAGTCATCTACTTGGTTCAGTCTTTGCACTTTGGACACATCATTTAGCATGTTAGGGTCAAAGAAAGCCATACTCAGACCACTCGGATCCGCAGCAAACATGCCATCATCAGACTCATCTACCTCATCCATTTGCCCAAGTCTGTCTCTTTCACTATGGATATCACGACCATTTCTGTCTCTGTCAGTATTCTCCTCCTCACACCATGATAAATCATTCACTTCATTACAGCCTAC